AGGACTTGGCTCCTGCTGACAAAGGTACCAAAAGCTGGCTGTGAAATATTCTAATTTTTCTGAATTTTATTTTTTCATTATCTGCAAGATATAATCATCAAAATGACAAAAAAAAAAAAAAAAAAAAAGGCTTGACATATTTCACTCTGTGTAATTAATCTATGGAATAAATGAGTTTCACTTCCTGAAATGATTGGACAAAAACTTGGACTTCTTCATAATCCTGTAGTCTAATGTTTTGAGATGCACCTGCATACTTTTTGGTTTCTCGTGGTCACTGATGGATCCTCTGTCAGTGTGCTGCAGCCATGTTAGTCCTCCATTATTAAATTTAGTTATTTCAGTTCTTTGTCATGGTGCCGCTGCAAAATCATTAGTTTTTAGTTTTCACCCACTGCTGACAGGCTGAAAACAGCTATAACTGTTACCCAACTTAAAATATTGATCTTAGTATATAACTGACATGAAGGGCAGTAGGCATATATGAATTTCAAAATAAAAGCAATAGCCTTGTTACTTGTCTGCTGAGCCCTAAATTTGCATCTTGCACTCTGTAGGTTACAGTACTTGAATATTTGTCCCTTCGGTACATAATTTCTTGAGACAGAATATGATCAAAAACAGCAAAAATCTTAGACCTTGACATTGACTAAATTGTGATGAATTGATCTTTCAGCCATCTGTCTATCTGGGTTGCAAAACTGCCCTTGAACACTGAAATCTGTTGAAATATGGGCTAAAGTTTACTGCACACTACTGCAGCCAAATTAAATAAAAAGACTAATCTTTTTTTTTATATACAGGTCCTTCTCAAAAAATTAGCATATTGTGATAAAGGTCATTATTTTCCATAATGTAATGATAAAAATGAAACTTTCATATATTTCAGATTCATTGCACACCAACTGAAATATTTCAGGTCTTTAATTGTTTTAATACTGATGATTATGGCATACAGCTCATGAAAACCCAAAATGACTGTCCCAAAAAATTAGCATATTTCATCCCACCAATGAAAGACAAGTGTTTTTAATACAAAAAACGCCAACCTTGAAATAATCATGTTCAGTTATGCACTCAATACTTGGTCAGGAATCCTTTTGCATGAATGACTGCTTCAATGCGGTGTGGCATGGAGGCAATCAGCCTGTGGCACTGCTGAGGTGTTATGGAGGCCCAGGATGCTTCGATAGCGACCTTAAGCTCATCCAGAGTGTTGGGTCTTGCGTCTCTCAACTTTCTCTTCACAATATCCCACAGGTTCTCTATGGGGTTCAGGTCAGGAGAGTTGGCAGGCCAATTGAGCACAGTAATACCATGGTCAGTAAACCATTTACCAGTGGTTTTGGCACTGTGAGCAGGTGCCAGGTCGTGCTGAAAAATGAAATCTTCATCTCCATAAAGCTTTTCAGCAGATGGAAGCATGAAGTGCTCCAAAATCTCCTGATAGCTAGCTGCATTGACCCTGCCCTTGATAAAACACAGCAGACCAACACCAGCAGATGACATGACACCCCAGTGACTGTGGAAACTTGACACTGGACCTCAAGCAATGTGAATTCTGTGTCTCCTCTCTTCCTCCAGACTCTGGGACTTTGATTTCCAAAGGAAATGCAAACTTTACTGTAATCAGAGAACATAACTTTGGACCACTCAGCAGCAGTCCCAGGCGAGATGCTTCTGACGCAGTCTCTTGTTCAAAAGTGGCTTGACCTGGGGAATGCGGCACCTGTAGCCCATTTCCTGCACACGCCTGTGCACGGTGGCTCTGGATGTTTCTACTCCAGACTCAGTCCACTGCTTCCGCAGGTCCCCCAAGGTCTGGAATCGGCACTTCTCCACAATCCTCCTCAGGTTCCGGTCACCTCTTCTCGTTGTGCAGCGTTTTCTGCCACACTTTTCCCTTCCCACAGACTTCCCACTGAGGTGCCTTGATACAGCACTCTGGGAACAGCCTATTCTTTCAGCAATTTCTTTCTGTGTCTTACCCTCTTGCTTGAGGGTGTCAATGATGGCCTTCTGGACAGCAGTCAGGTCGGCAGTCTTACCCATGATTGCGGTTTTGAGTAATGAACAAGGCTGGGAGTTTTTAAAAGCCTCAGGAATCTTTTGCAGGTGTTTAGAGTTACGTCGTTGATTCAGATGGTTAGGTTAATAGCTTGTTTAGAGAACCTTTTCATGATATGCTAATTTTTTGGGACAGACATTTTGGGTTTTCATGAGCTGTATGCCATAATCATCAGTATTAAAACAATTAAAGACCTGAAATATTTCAGTTGGTGTGCAATGAATCTGAAATATATGAAAGTTTCATTTTTATCATTACATTATGGAAAATAATGACCTTTATCACAATATGCTAATTTTTTGAGAAGGACCTGTATATATAATGACCAATACAATATAATACATCACCAATAATAATGACATTGCAGTACTGTGCAAAAGTCTCAATCATCCCTCATTTCTTTTGTTTCTTCAAAATAATCACTTTCTATGATTTAGTCACCTTATACAAAATGCACAACTTGGGTTTCACATGCACATTTTTGATCTGTGTTTGAAAGGCATTAAGTTATTCATTTTTCCAGAGCACATGATTTAATGATTATAAACATTGTTTCGACCTGAATTTGTTGGGCATGAATACTGAGGCCGGGTTGGTTGAAGTACCTCACAATGGTCTTGTCACCAGCTGAGATTCATGAACAATGTGTCCCATGACAACTTACTTTTTTTTTTTTTTTAAAGAACACACATTTTATTTATTAATTTTGGGGTAGGTGAAAATAATGTCTACTTTGCATTTTTCCTTTGTTCCCAACAGAACAAAATCGATTTCAGACTTTAAAAAGCTGAAACTTTTCTTTCCCAGGTTAGTAAGATCTGACAAAACCATGTGAAACTGAGAAAAATAAAAATGAAAACCATTCTAAATGTTGCATTTCTTTAAAACTAAAAGCCGACACATTTTTACAAAACGCAGCACGTTTGGTACATCGAGATTATTGCTATATTTTTAACCGAACCAGCCATGCTAGAAATTATTAAAAGAAAAATTTAAAAAGAAAACCTTTGAATATGACATCCTGATGCATGATCAATAATGCAGGTAGACAAATCTGAGGTTGAGTCAGATCCTCTGGACGTATTATGTTCTGTTGAAAATGTTTCGTCTTTTAATCAAAACTGAAGAAGTATTTTGGATAAGAGACGAAACGTTTCAACAGAGAAGAATCCATCCAGAGGACTTGAGTCAACCTCGTTACATTTGATGATCTCCAAACGTATCTACCAGAAAAAAAAAACAATAATTAAAGGGTAAACCATCGTAATTTAAAATGAACTACATAGCCACAATGTCCAAGCACTTTTTACGTATTTTATGTAGGAAATACATTTGTTTTAGTCCAGGGGTGCCCACATTTTTTCAGCATGTGAGCTACTTTTAAAATGACCAAGTCAAAGTGATCTACCTACCATAAGGCCCCGTTTACACAACAACCACTTCTGGGAATGTTAAGTGTTTTTTCAATGTTTATTGGAGGTAATAAACAAAAAATGAGTGTGTTTACATGGAAAAACACTGTAGTTTCCATGTCAGTCAGGTTGCCAGATAAGAAATTATGAACTATAGTACTGTGGCTTGAAAATTACAGTATTTTGACCTAAACTGTCATATGTGCTGAGTAAAGATATTTTAAGATGAGGTGTGTGTTGTGTTTGTTGAACATGTGCACAGAAAAGGAGGGGGTAAATAAGACATATTACATTTATCTGGCAACCCTGATGCTGGGTTCCACAGCATTCATCGCACATGCGTCTGCATGACAGTTATGTCCAAACTGATGACCACACGAACGTCTCTTTGGACCCTGGATTTTACGTTTTGCTCCTTTTGCTCCTAGATGCTGAAAAAGGGTGAGCGGAACAAAAACACTCTGCGCTGCCATTTATTATAACTGTTGTTAGTGCAGACAAACTTTGGGCTGTAGCTGCCTGTAGTGCGCTTTATTTCCACTTCACTTGCCGAGCATTTCACACCTCCGTGGGGGGTTCCCCCAAAAATCTCCACCAAGACCTGGATTGGGACGACTTAACGGGTTCACGTCATGTAAACAGGGCCTCAGACTGGATGCCCTGTAAGTCAGTCAAGTGACAAATTTCATAGTGAGGATGGATGGTAGGCTGACGTTTATTTCTTGAATGCCATGTGATCTACCCATAATACCTTTACGATCGATGTATTGGGCAGAACTGACCATTTTGTGACACGATTCCTTTAACTGACTTAAAATGTCCCTTTGAAAAACAAACAAAAAAAAGTGTCCCACCTCCCACTTGGTTGAAAACCAATAACTCTGCCGTCTGCTTCTTCGAATCCAACAAACCACACGACACCAGACATATTTTGATAGATTTTTCTCAACTTTTATATTTTTAAAAACAAACAAAAATAACAGATTAAATAAAATTTACAGTAGACATATGCAACCATTGTGCACTTTAACTACTTCTTATACGTTCTGCACAGCTGTCAACGAAAAACGCAAACACAATGGGGGACGTCTGGGTGGAGCTGGGAGGGGGGGATGTGGGACAGTTGTGGGAGAGAGAGGGGAGAGGGCTGAAGAAGTGAGGTAGAGGGCAGCAAAGAGGAAACAAATGTAGGGAAGAGAAGGAGGAGTTAAGAAGGAAGGAGTAAAGGATAAAGGAAGGCTTAAAGTTTGTCACTTGAGAACAAAAGAAAAATCACTGAATATATAGATCTCTTTTATTCCTTACATCACTTATATAAATATATTGAACCCTCAAAAAAAAAAAAAAACTTCCAAGAGGGGGGAAAAATAAACAGCGCAATACAGAAACCCACGACAGCAGTAAGGCAAACAGAAAGCAAGAGGAGAGCAGTGACATCAGGTGAGAGGAACAGATGAGCAGAGAAGGATGGGAGCAATGGCAAGAAGAGGAGCAGCAGCTGGGGGGGGGGGGGGGGGGGGGGGGGGGAGAAGAGAGCGCAACTGTGTGTATGAAAATTTATAAATACATGAGAATCTGAGACGACTGGGCGATGGAGAGCTGAGGAATGGGAGAAAGCGCTGGCAGCAGAAGGAGAAGTGTGGAGGAGGAGGAGGTCCGACTGAGATCGACTGTCCAGTGTGTGTTTATGTGCTACGTGACCCTGTTGCCTGCACTTCTGTGTCTGCTTGTGTCTTTTGGTTTGTGTGTGACCTTGCATGTGTTTTTTGTATCATGGCAGCGCACGTTCCACAGCAGCTGTGAAACACATGCTCGCGTGTCTTGTGTGCTCTTCCACTTTATAAATTACAAAACAAAACCCAACGAAGAAAAACAAACGATGAAAATCAGATTTGCAACCAAACACCATCCACCTCATGATTCACACCTTCTTCCCTTTTATACATTTGACACGTCATTTCACTTTTTTGTTTCATTGTAAATTGTACACTAATAGCAGCCCCCTCTCAGTCCTCCTTCCTTTTCCACTGTTCTACCCAGAGTCTGTGTGTTTCCCCTCCTCTCACTGAGAACTGGCTCTCTCCAGCACACGCAGGTCATAGTTCTTTTTGGCGGCCCTCAGTTTGAAGAGGGTGGCCCCGCTGTTATTAAGTTTGAAGGAAGCACTTTGAGCAGCCATGGTGCTGGGGAACACTGCCACTACTGTGTAGAGGTGAGCTGGGTCGTTAATGTCACCACACTTTCCTCCACCTGCTCCCATGCAGGCCCCAGGCCCTGCGCTGGCTCCTGGTCCAGACAGACCCATTCCAGGACAGGGGCCACAGCCTCCTGCTACTCCTCGACCTCCCTGGGGTTCCTTTAGCCACTGGATCTTGGCACCGCACAGTGACAGCTGGTTGAAGAGCTTCTCAGCCTCTGGACGTGAAATTCCCTCTGGCAGGTCGGTGACTTCAAGAACCCGACTCACCACTGGGCAAGAAGCAGAACAGAACCCGAGAGGAATGTTAAACGTTGTGTCTGAAAGTGCATCTTCAGGTTGAAAACGTTCTCTAGCCAAGAAATGTGTCACTTTAACAAAGTACTGTATTTTTCAGACTATAAGGCACATTAAGCAAAACAAAACAGTCAGATAAGTCAAACTTTATTCAGCTCATTCACAATAACCACATAAAATCGGTTCGAGGTCAGAAAGCACAATCAGAATTAATACATGAGGCTCACTGAAGATTTTTGAGAAAATTAAAGGATTTTAAGAGTGAAAAATACAGTATGTGAGAATTGACAAAGTTTCAGTGTGCATGGCCCCGAGGAGAGGAATGAATCCAGTTAGGACGGGAAAAAAAGCAAGCGTTGTAAAAACAGGTTTTGTCCATTTGATGTTTTTTAAAAATATATAAGTTTGTAAGAGAAACGCAACAACAACCAAAAGACATGCCAACATCACTACACTGATTCAGTTCTTGTACAAGTTTTACATTTTCCCATTACTTTCACTGGACCCCTAAACAAAAAAAACTTTTCTTTCATTAAAACAAAACTTTTCAGATGCTTTAAAAATAAGATATTAATGGAGAGTGCATAACATACCTGCAAACAATATCTACACAGACTCTTCTACGTTGTCCTGTAATGATGAATTTTACTTACCTACATCAGTGGTTCCAAGATCTGTAGACGCAGATTTGAGTGTTTGTTTTTTCCCTCGCGCCCCGTGTTTCATCACTCCTTGACTCTGAAAACAGCAACAGGTGATACTGGGTTGATTCATAGTGATATGACAGAACACTAGATGCTGCAGAGACAGAAAGACTTAACCAATAACATGACCTCACATGAGCACAGGACAGTGATGGAGCGTGCTCACTATAATTACCAACTGTATTCACCTTTTAGGAAAATCTTTACAGAAACTATCAAAGTTATCACTTTAAAGTAACCAAAGTTGTGATTTTTACCTGCATTTAAAAATTTACAGAATTAAGATTTAGCTTTTGGCACAAGTTTGGCCAAGATTATACAATACAAATTGTTTGCCCTTATGTGATAAACATTTTAAATCAAAATGTGTTTTCTGAGATGAAATGACTTTTATTCTTTCAGTTTTCAGAAACCTTCTTGAACCATTTTATGAACTTGGCAGTGTTTAATAATTAAGAGTACAGTTCATTTATAACATGAATAAAGTGACACTCAAAAAGAGTAACACAATTTATTTGATTTTTTTTTGTGTGTAAATATCAACATAAATGAAGTTGATGTTTATTACCTCAGTGACAGAATGAAAAGTTAATTTTGCAATTTATGGTCATCAGTAATTGGCTATTTCCTTTTCTATTTCGGCTCTGAGCCCCTTCTTGTTTGCTCTGGTGATGGACCGACTAACAGATGAGGTCAGGCAAGAATCCCTGTGAACTATGATGTTTGCAGATGACATTATGGTCTGTGGTGAGAACAAGGAACAGGTGGAAGAGAACTTGGAGAGGTGGAGGTATGTACTTGAAAGAAGAGGAATGAAAGTCAGTTGTAGTAAGACAGAGTGCATGTGTGTGAATGAGAAGGAGGCCGGTGGAACAGTGGGACTACAAGGAGCAGAGGTCACAAAGGTGCAGGACTTCAAGTACTTGGGGTCCAGTGACCAGGAAAATGGGGAATGTGGTAAAGATGTGAAGAAGAGAGTCCAGGCAGGATGGAGTGGATGGAGAAACGTTTCATGAGTAATTTGCAACAAAAATGTGTCAGCAAAGGTCAAAGGAAAAGTTTACAAGACAGTGGTGAGACCAGTTATGTTGTATGGTCTGGAGACAGTGGCATTGACAAAAAAAACAGGAGAAAGAACTGGAAGTGGCAGAAATGAAGATGTTGAGGTTTTTCTTAGGAGTGACAAGGAAGGATAAGATTATGAATGAGATCATCAGAGGTACAGCACATGTTGAACAACTGTGAGATAAAGTTAGAGAGACCAGACTGAGATGGTTTGGACATGTCCAGAGGAGGAACAGTGGGTATATTGGTAGAAGGATGTTAGAAATGCAGCTACCAGGAAAAAGACAAAGAGGAAGGCCAAAGAGATACACTGCCTGGCCAAAAAAAAAGTCGCCACCTGGATTTAACTAAGCAAATAGGTACGAGCCTCCTATTGGATAATTACTGCATGGACGATTATCTTTCAGCTGGCAACAAGTTATTTAACCCCAACTGGTGCCATGAGTTGCTTCTCATTTCTTAAACCATGATGAAAGACACATTGCGTGGTTGTGGAAAAGATGTCAGTCTGTTTGAGAAGGGTCAAATCATTGTCATCAAGCAGAGAAAATATTTAAGGAGATTGTAGAAACTACTAAAATTGGGTTAAGAACTGTCCAACGCATTATTAAAAACTGGAAGGATAGAGGAAACGCATCGTATCTGATGAAGAAATGTGGCCGGAAAAAAATCCTGAATGATTGTGATCAGTGATCATTGAAACATTTGGTGAAATCAAATGGAAGAAAAACAACAGTAGCACTCAGGGCTACGTTTAATAGTGAAAGTAAGAGCATTTCCACACAATACCAGGGGAACTCAAGGAATTGGGACTGAACATCTGTGTAGCCTTAAGAAAACCACTAATCAGTGAGGCTAACTGGAAAAAAAAGGCTTCAACTTGCTAGGGAGCATAAAGATTGGACTCTGGATCAATGGAAGAAGGTCATGTGGTCTGATGAGTCCAGACTTACCCTGTTCCAGAGTGATGGGTGCATCAGGGTAAGAAGAGAGGCTGGTGAAGTGATGCACCCATCATGCCTAGTGCCTAGTCATCAATGCAAGATCTTGGTGAAAAATTAATGCAACACTGGATGGAAATAGATGTTGTGACATTGCAGAAGTTTATCGAAACAATGCCACAGTGAACGCATGCCGTAACCAAAGCTGAAGGTGGTCCAACGAAATATTAGTGTGTGACCCTTTTTTGGTGGCAACTTTTTTTGGGGCCAGGCAGTGTATATGGATACAGTTAGAGAGGACATGGAGGTAGTTGGAGTGAGGACAGAGTGAGATGGAGGAGGATGACTCGCTGTGGAGACCCCTGAAGAGGGAAAAGCTGAAAGAAGTAGTAACGGCCTATTTCCTAACAACAGTTTTAGGAATACAAAGGTCTGCTGGTACCGACCTGGTGGGAGCTGTAGGAGGACTGGCCATGCATGAGATGTGGAGGGCAGAGACTGTACTGAAGAGGCTGCCCCAACAAAGAGTAACGACCATCACCTAAAGAAAAAGAAAATCAACACCATCTGGTTAGCATCCTAAAGTGTTGCTCTCATTTCTGTCTTCATTAACGTACAAACTCTTGATACAATTTTTATACAGAAAAGTTTTAGCAAATGAAGGCGTTAAAAAAATAATAAAATAAAATACAATAAACATGCCCTATTTTCACTGGAAAATACTGAGAAGTTCATTTTTAGAGCTGATAAGTACCATAGTTGATGAAAATACGTCTAGTTGTTGCATTGTGTATTTACTTTGGTGTTGAAGAAAAATTTTTGTTGGTGATCTAATAAAAATTTCAGACTGATGCAAGACCCAGTTTCTGTCTAATGGTGCCTATTTGTCAGTGAAGACACGGTGGCGCGGAGTGTAAATATAGGTCAAAGGACAGGCACGAGGTGAAGTCATGCATGGCTGCAGGTTTGATCTGGTGGCGTGATGCCAGTCATGTGAACCTGTTGAGGTGAAGTGATATCACTTTTGGTTGAGAGCCAAGAGCCACATGGCAAAATTTAGAAAGTCACTATGAAAAGAAAAAGAACATGACCTTGGGGTTTCCAAAAACAAAGCTGTAACAGAAAGACGTGTTCATTTGCTTGAAAAACAAACAAAGCAAATTTTTTTTTTAACCAACCAGATTTTTTTTTTAAAGTTTTGTTCACACTTTTTTTTTTTACGTAATAGTTTGCTTTGCTAAATTTAGCAAAAATTTTGCCACCCCCAAAAAAGTAATTTACAAAGATGACTAAAATGGAATACTAACACCCACAACCGCTTCATAAACAATGTCTTGTAAACTTCAGTAAATAGTGATGAAACTAAAATGATCATATCTGAAATTTTAAAGGACTTTTTGTATGTTTTTTACACGAGTCCTAAAACATCCCAAATACCGTTTGTAACATAACCAGGAAAGACTTGTCCACAGTTATTAAAACAACAAACATACAGCACCAACAGAAGTTAGCACAGCTCAGCTGTTTGTGGTCGGCTGTGCTCAAGTACGACCTGACTGTATTTGTACAGAGTACTTTACCACCGTTACCTTTAAAATACATAAATATGATTTCTTCATTCCTTCTCTAATCACCTGCATCTACTGGAGATTGAAACATTGTTGGGTTTAGGCATGTATTAATATTTCTGAATGTTCACTCGTACCTTGAGGAGGACCTCCTTGCCTGGTAAACTGGGAAATGAGGGGCAATGGTCCCAGGCCTGGACATAAGCTGTTGACGCTACCAGAAGGAGATGGTGTGGGAGACTGAGTGGGGGAGGCCAGGGGACTCGTCAGCTGAGTGCTGGCCTAAACATATACAAAAATTAAACAAATTAGGAAGGCATTTGTTTATTCAACATAATCTTGAACCACTTGAAAGAACAAACCGATCTAAACTGTATTAGGTAAGTAATATCACATACAAGCACTAGGGGGTGATAGGAAAAAGGAAATAATGAACAAAGCGTTTTGTAATAACTTCACCTCTTATCAAGGAGATTTTATGTACCTGTGGAGTGTTATCAGGTTTGTAGAGCTCTCCTGGTTTACTGGCTCTCTGTTCGATGCTGTAATACTTGCATGGGTTCCACTGGACCAGAGGAGGATTCTGGGAAGGCTGTGGTCCATTGGGGACACTGAGCTGCATGACCATCACCCCAGGTCCAGGAGGAGCTACTCCTAAGGGAGCACAAACAGCCAGGAAAACAAAATAAACACATAGTTTGTAACTTATAACCGGCCTGCAGCACGGGCAGAGTATTTACTGAAGGCACGGCTGCTTGAAAGAAGGAGCTTTTAAATTAAGCCTAAGATAACTCGTAATAAAACTGTCACGACCAGTTTCCTAGCTTAAGATCACTGTCTTTGTGTGTCTGCTAGTATATTAACTTGAAATGACAAATACCAAAAGATTATCTAAATTTATGGTCTCCAACAATTTTCCATTTGTAAAAATCAAAAACAACACATTGACCTGTTGTACTATGAATAGCCAAGAACTAGAAAATTCTAACAGAAATATACTAGTACATAATTAATACACAGGTCTCCATGACAATTCTAATAAATATTCTCTTGAGTAAACAACACAAATGTATAACAGAGTTCAAAGACGTGACCTTAACGTGATCAGAACAGGACCATAACGCAACCGTTCTGATCAACATCAGCTTCAGGCCTAAACTGGATCAAAAATAAACTTGGTTTGTTTTTCTTGGTTTCTTCAAACAAACATAACCTCTTTAAAGGACATCGATTTACAACTTTACAGCATGAACTCCACATACCTTTATCTAAACTTCTACCTGAATACCTTTCACCTACTTGTACAAAGACAAGCGCCACTTTAATCTTTGCAGGGATTTAACAGACAGGCAGTCAACAAAAGTGGCTTAGTCTGAATGACGTGTTTGAACTGACTGACAAAAACTCCACAATTCAGTTTTTCTTTTTTTCAACTAAAAACATGTTCAAAATGTTGCATGTTCTGTTTTGCGGAGTAATACCAACATGTATTTAAAAAAAGTAGGTTTCTTTTGGCTGCTCCCTTCTTCAGGGGTTGCCACAGCGAGCGCACTCACATGAGCGATTTGGCAATTGTTTGACGTCAGATGCCCTTGATGACACAACCTAGGTTCGAACCCGCAACCTCAGGATTACAAGCCCACGGCACTGACCACCAAGCTACCGCAGCTGTAAAATTAAAGAACTTATTATCAAAAACATCTTGATGGCACACCTCACCTGAATATTGTTGTTGCAATGGCTGAGGGTTGCAGGGAGATGGCGACTGTGTAATCTGAAACTGCTCAGAGCTGGGGGGCTGCAGATAACCTACTGACGGGCTACAAAACACAAATAAATAAAAATAAATAAATAGCAAACCTAATGTCTCGATACAGTTTAATTATTTTCCAGATGTAACACTGTTTCAATCATTTGAAATCATATACTGCATTTCTTAATGAGTTATTTTAGAGACTTCTTGATAAAAAAAAATTAAAAATCTGAAAACACAAGCCAATTAAAAAAAAGATTTAAATGTAATGCACAGTGTGTATTGTAAGGCTGAATGATAAATATTTCATCATCAAATATTTTGTGTGAATAGGATCTACTTGTACCTTGTGCTATTCTGCTGTGTGGGTGTAATAACACTGTAGTAGACAGGCATGGGCCCCTGGACAGACTGGCTGACTGGTACCATGACCTGCTGCTGGTACTGCTGCGTCACCACCTGCTGATTCTCATTTGCCACTGGTACCTGGACGAAGAAAGAAGTGAATCAGACACAGAAATGTAACAAGTGTTATAATGGACTGCTGCCAAAGTTAAGCAAGGAATGGCTGTTCTAAAAATAGAAGCATCAACTTAAAACCTGTAGATGCACACGTCGTTTTTTTTTTAAACAAATATAAACATGCCAATTAATTAAGCCAAACAGAAAAATATTTACTCTTCATTGACTGCCAAACACAACTATATCAATAGAACTAACTTTAATTGGAGAAAATATGATGCAATGCTACTGATGGTGCAAAACATGTAAGCTCACATCTTAAAGCTCAGCAAATTCTGCAGTAATTATTGTCGGAATGAAAAGTTTTTATGAAAACTAACAGTTTTTTTGTTCAGTTAACAATTTGTGACATACAGCTGATTAAGTAGAGTGCATACCTGATATGATGGCATCTGTGGATATTGGACCATTATGCTTTGCATCTGACCTCCCATACCTGCCCTCTGGGAATTAAGAAGGCCAGGGTTTGGAGGCTGCTGAACCCCCATCATACCCTGATAGCTTGGCTGCTGGCTGGGCATTATGGTCTGAAGACCTGATCACAACAAGTAAAGACAGATACTAACTAAGATAAGATACTAAGATACTAACGAGAAACCGATAAAAATGCAGAGAAAAATTATGAACTTTTGAGAACACTAGGTCTTCACCTTCATTTATTAATATATCTTTATATCTTAAATTTTACAAGGTTTATTGATAAAAGATATATGTAAAAATCAGTTCAAATGTAAAAAATAGAACAATGTTTTCACACCTACTAGCACAAACTAGACAACGGCAATGTCTTTTTGACCTATGTTCATTAGCTGTGTGCATTGGCTGCTTTCCATTTCAACCCAAAGTCCATTTAGGCTGTCAACACTGCCTGTCACTTACTGTATAAACACACAGTCCACTTTCACAAACCATACATTGAAAAAGCTAAACGCTGAAGCTGTTGTGTGCCAGCATTTTCCATGAAATCTAGAGAGCGCTAAATTGCCCGAGCATATTTGGCTTAGTTAAATACCGCAGGGAAAAGGTCGTTTAAATGTAACCTTTCACATAGTTTTCATAGACTCAAAATGGAGTCAGCAGTACAACACAGCAGTAGCAAAAATGAGGTCAATTCATTGTGTATTTTTGCATAATTATAATAATTAATAAGAACAAAAATATTTATAATAGAGCCAAAAGTTCATTATTCACAGTGTTGTACAGTTGTGGCAGAGGATGAAATGTTCTCACCTGACTGCTGACTAGGCTGAGGCATGGGCTGTGTGCGTTGGGCTGGGTACGACACCTGATGGGACATAGGCTGGGACACACGGTACTGCTGGCCTGAACTGGGATACTGACCAGGAGGATAATACGACACCTGTATCTGAAAAGAGAAAAAATCTGGTTAAGAGAAGTTAAAACCAAAAAAAGTGAAATATGAAGTTAAAATGAAGTAACTTAGATATGTTCTCAAATCTTTGAGATTAAGAAATAGTGTGTTTTGTCTAATATGTAAACTGTATATATTGTTTCCATAAATCCTTTTTTTTTTTGTCAGTTTAGAAAAACTCAATTGAAATAAAGATTTTGGAAATTACATTTATATCTTTAAATGTTTATCTTGGTATTTCAACTTTTAATTTAACTAGAGAAATGCTGGACCAAATGGTTGAGCAAGCAGTATGTCAAAAACAATATCAATATTACATTTTTCAATTAACCTGTGATATTAAACTTCAGCCACTTAGGAGTCTGTTGAAAGAAACTAAACTGTTTCAACCCATAAATGACATGGGGAATAATTCATTGTCCCTTTCCACATTAAACAAAAGGGACAACAATGAAAAAAATTGCATAATCTTTTCAAAGACAAGGTTTCTGTTTGTTAACATAAACTAGATTAGAATTTTTTTTTTTTTTGCCATCCCAGAAGTTGCATTAAAACAAGTTGCCTAAAATAAGGTAAAGATCAGCAACAAAGCCAAGTTAAACAATACGATAAAACAAAATACTGTTCTGTTGATCCTAAATAGCTGGTAGTCAAAATGAGTTCAGAAGATTTAAAGAGAATTCAGGAAGGTGCACAGGGTGACGTTATACAGAAAGCATAAAGTCCAAAAACATAAGAGGTAGTAACTGAACAAGATGAGTGTAAACCATAAAGTCTGAGAAGAAACTAAAATCAGGCTGAAACATTTCTTATATAAACTACTTTTACTAAGCATTACAACCAAGATTGAAAATAGGTGCATTTTTACATATTATTTATTGTTACAAGGCGGAACAAAGAGCTGGACTTGAATCTATCTGATATTTTTCTTTAACAATTTGTTAAATTGTAAAAGAGCAGCATACCTGTTGAGGTGGAGGGGGCTGTATGTAGCCTTGTGGTGGTGGAGCCTGTATAACAGGCTGTGATGGAGGAGGTGGTGGAGGTGGAGGATGAGGGTGTCCGGTAGCAGTTTGGTAGCCAGATGGAGGCTGCAAAGGCTGACCCGTGGTAGCCATGATGTAGCCGGTCTGAGGTGGAGGATGCTGTGAAAGCACTGTGGGGGGCGCCTGATACATAGGAGGAGGTTCAGGGTTCTCACTGGAGCCCTGTCGACTCAGCGTCATCTGGGTGAATTGAGATGCCAGCTCTTCTCCCTGGAAAAGGTCAGAATGATTTTAATAGAGAATCAGATCGTGGCTGTTATCACTTTATTAATACCCTTTGTGAAATTGGCACTACAGTGTAAAAATAAATATCTGGGATTATCAGTGCCATGCTGGAAAATTACCATTTGTGTAACAGCTCTGAGATTTTGGATATTTAGGAAACACTGTCTTTTCAGAAAATACTCCTGTCAACATGTTTTTGTTAGCGCTCACTACTAATTGGCAATCCTTTACCAAACCATAATTTATGCAGTGAAGTGCAGCACGCAGGACAACTTGATTTAATATAGAAATTTAAATGGTGAATTGCACCCAAGTCACCTCTTATTACATTTTGTCATGTGCGACACAAAGTGAGTATTTGACAGAATTTGAGTTTCTGTACACTGTTGCATGCAATGCCAAATACAAAAGTATCAAATCGAAGACGAAGTTACATGTGACTGTCTAAAAAAGTTAAATCTGGTCCTCTGGACATTCAAAAAAAACCCAAAAACAAAGCAAAACAACAAAAAAATGTAGAAACGTTTCGTCTCTCATCCAAGAGACTTCCTCAGTCTGAGGTGCTGTTTTCAGCTCAGCCTCTTAAATAGCACCTTCTCAGAGTGGATCAACCAGTTTGCTGCTGACAACCAAAACCAGCTGATCACATGCTCAAGAAGGACCATCAGACTAACAATGGATCATTAGCACACTGATGACTGTTTACTGTTCACAGAGGGCTGAGTGATACTAGCAATAACAGCATTGTAAGAGGGGGGCAGTTGAACCCGGAGGCCTCCACCCCTGTTTAATGATGGACGGTTTCTTTTCACAAAGATGGCCTCCTTTACTCCTCTCTCAAACCATCGTTCCTCTCTGTCCAGGATGTGAACATCTTCATCCCTGAAAGAGTGACCGCTGGCCTGGAGATGAGTGTAGACCGCAGAGTCCTGGCCTGATGATGTTGATCTTCTGTGCTGGGCCATCCTTTTGGCCAGTGGCTGTTTTGTTTCCCCGATGTAAGACTGATCACAGCCCTCCTGACACTGAACAGCATACACAACATTACTCTGTTTGTGCCGGGGGACTGGATCTTTGGGATGAACCAGTCTTTGCCGTAATGTATTTTGGGGTTTAAAAGCCACTGGGACGTTATGTTTAGAAAATAAACGTCTCTGTTTCTCTGATACTCCCTCAACATATGGAATGACCACTGGTCTGGGTCTGGGTTCCTCCTTTTCACCTGTTGGCTGACTGGAGTCCTGTTTGGGTTTCTTCTCTGCTTTTAGGAAGGCCCAGTTAGGATATCCACATTGCTCTAGAGCCTGTCTTGTGTGGGATTTCTCCTTCTGCCTGGCTCCTGAGCTAGTGGGGATGCTGTCTGCTCTGTGATACAGAGTCCTGATGACTCCTAACTTGTGCTCCAAAGGGTGATGGGAGTCAAACTGCAAATACTGGTCTGTGTGGGTGGGTTTGCGGTACACCTCAGTTTGCAAATGTCCTCTATCAGAGACTGAGACCTCACAGTCCAAGAAAGCCAACTTGCCATTTTTTTCATCTTCTCGTGTGAACTTGATGTATTTATCCACAGAGTTGATGTGGTCAGTAAAATGTTGGACTTCCTGAGATTTAATTTTAACCCAGGTGTCGTCAACATACCTGAACCAATGACTTGGTGGTGTCCCTGAAAAGGACGTCAAGGCTCTCTTTTCTACCTCCTCCATGTACAGGTTGGCAACAATAGCCGTCAGTGTGCTAATGATCCATTGTTAGGCTGATGGTCCTTCTTGAGCATGTGATCAGCTGGTTTTGGTTGTCAGCAGCAAACTGGTTGATCCACTCTAAGAAGGTGCTATTTAAGAGGCTGAGCTGAAAACAGCACCTCAGACTGAGGAAGTCTCTTGGATGAGAGACAAAACGTTTCTACATTTTTTTGTTGTTTTGCTTTGTTTTTTTTTTTTTTTGAATGTCCAGAGGACCAGATTTAACTTTTTTAGATTTTTCTACCTGGATTATTGAGCATGCATCAGGATACATGTGACTGGTTAAAGCTGCAAAGGAAGAGCTTTTTATAACTGTAGTGAAATACTAATCTAATGCTAATGAAAACAGAACACGTATTTTAGTAGGCTGTCTAAGTTGGACAATGTCAGTCTGGATGTGGTCAGTCATAGAAATGAAAATAATAATGAGTCTAAACTAAAAGAGCCATCAGTACCATTGTGTACTGCTGAGGAGGAGAAACTGGCAGGAGAACCTGGGGACAGGAAGGGCTGGAGTAGGAGACAGGTTGAGAAGGTTGTAGAGACGCCACTGGCTATACACACCGGAAAAGAAAACGGAAATACAGAAGCAAAACATTAGGAAAATAAAGCAAGGCAGAGAGAAGGGCATCAGAAAAAGATGAAAAGTGGAGGAGAAAGATAGGAAAAATGGAGATAATACAATGGGAGACATTTTTCAGGAGCAGAAATGACAGAAATGTAAGAAGTTTTATGTAAATTCATTACAACCTATGCACAAAGCAATGTTTCGCCTACCATTATCCAAGGAGGCACCCTGCCCTGTCAACAGAACCAAGCGTCCCGCCTACCAAATCCCTTCTTTGTGGCAGACAGTTCTGCTACTTCTGGACGAGGAGTGGAGATTGTAGCAGCTCAGATCTAGCATAAGTACCGTAACACATCACTACAACCCCCCTCCCACCACCCCTCATCGACAACTGCTGGCAGTATACCAACGTAACGCCCCGCTGCACCCCCCACCTCCCAGTCGACAAATGCTGATGAGCGCCCGCCCTCTCAAGGCAAGTAACCTAGGGGAAACATTGCAAAGCCAAGTATTACTAAAAAGAAAGCATTAAGCTTTTTTTTCTTTAAGGACTTTTATTCTTTAGTTGAAGACTCTTAAGCGTTACAGCTTCTTTGCAATAATCTGATTTACAACCAAAAGAATCACTTAGTTAAGGCCCCTTTTGGTGATTACATATATTTAACTCAATAGCTCCAATTAGTTCCTCTGTCACTTTACACTATTTTACTAGTTTTGATATGGCCGGTTGTAGAACCTCTTACCTGAGCAATCATGTGGTTACCCATGGGGTGTTGCTGTGGTGTGGGTAGCAGGGCAGTCTGAGGTGGAGCTTGTGCTGGTGGCTGTTGTGGCTGAGATGGGCAGGGAAGCAAGCTACGGCTGGACTGGGAAGCTATGGGTGGGGGGCACACATCTGGACTGACTAGAGGCAAAACTAGTAGTGCAAAGAAAAACAAAATATAAACAGTAAGTAATGCAGAATTTTTGATTAAACAAAGTAACAATAAATAATTTGAATATTTAAAACTAGAACACAACTGATATATCAGTAGTGTCGATATTTTAGGCCAATTTAGGCGTTTGGGGGCATATCGGTATTGGTGATAATTGTCCCATTAGGTGCTGAAATAAACACTGGGCACAAGCCGTGTTGTTACTGGTAAAAGCCGTAATTGTACAGTGTATCCAGCAGAAGGCACATGCAGACTACTGTACAGTCCTTTCAAATTAACTTTCACTTTCAGCACAGCAGAAGTAGTGAGCAATACTGTGTAGCATATTCTGCAGAAAAGAACACTGAAAGTTTATTTTAAATGATCTGTAAAATAAAATAAATAAAAAAATCAACAATAAAAAAAATCTTTTCAATCCTCCAACCTACTTGTCACTAGATACATGCCTCTCAAGTTAGCAAGATAATGTTTAGATAACCTAGAATAGGCTATTGCCTTGTAAACTTTAGCCAGAACAACAAATTTAATGTAGAGGTAAAATGTATCAGTTAGAAATGTAACGTAAAGTTACGTAAACATTAACATAAGTATTTTATCTTCGTCATCGTCAATAAAATGCATTGTCTGAAATCTTTACTTCTCTTCCAAAAAACAACAACAACAAAAAACGCTGCTGCGGTCAGTAGGTCTTCACTGACTGTTGAAACAATGAACATGGATGGGCATTTCTTTGTTTAAATTCTATTTTTGTAACACACTTGATAACTTAATGGTGAATAGTGGAGGATGGGAGATGTGAATGCACGTTAGGAAGACTGTTTCAAGACTTCAAGCGTTAAAACAGGTTTAAAAGTTGCTGTTTACTTAATAATCTTGAGGGTGGACAAAGATTTAAATTTTTCATCCATTATATTAGTTATCTGCATTAGCCTTACTCTCCCAATATCGGTATATGAAACAGCCAAAATTTCCATATTAGTCAGGCTCTATTTAAAACACAACTACACTAGTTGACTAAGAAACAAAGTGAATAAATTTAATGGTGGGGACAGAGCTTGTGTGAATAAAAACTATAAACTTGACTAGGTATAATTTTTGTACAGATTTGCTACAATTCCACATGCTCCTTGATTTTGACATTTTTATCTAAATTGCAAAACAACACATAAGTACAGTTAAAAACAACAACAAATAAAAACCAGATCATTTTTAATATTCAGGAAATTTGGAATAGGTTCACAACAGGTCATAAACAGAATGATGTATTTTGGAGAAAAAATGTTTTACTGTCGTGATACAAAATTATGCCTGAATAAGAAAATAAGATGCTCCTTTTGAATAAACACTGTGTTTGTGTTTTGACTTGTGGGTCTAATGTTGCTATGCTAATTAAGTTATTCACTTTAGTTTATTATGCACATGTTCCAGTCTTCTTTAAAGCGTTTAAACCACAAGAGTTTGACTGCTTGTGTAATGTGTTTTGCTGCATTAAAAAAAAGTGTGAAAATGAGTCATAAGCTTCCTTTGACGTCTCAAGTGCAGAAACTGCAAGGCCTAATTTACACGTCAAATAGCTACTTATAGAGATCACAAAAGTTAAAAAAGGATTAAGATGATGTAATTTTATTGGCAACTCCTAAAATCCTGTTGTGAGTTTCTAACACATTTATAAAGATATGTTTCTGCAGTAAACCTCGTGAACGACTAAACATGTTTCAGACTGTTCAGCTTTCAAGAACGTTCTAAGGACTAGTTCTGGCTTTGAAGTCAAGCACTTATTTTAGAACTTTCATTGATTTTTTTTTTTATGAGTAACCTTTAAATAATCACTAGACCTCATAATACCTTTTGGATTAATGAAACAAATATATGCAACACAAATGAGAAGCAACATAGTCACCTTTTTTTTTCCTCAATAAAATTGCCTATTATAAACATCAAAGTTCATGCTCAAGTCAGGTCATCTGGATGGTTTAGTTTTTTTCTTTAGACATTTCGTTCTTCATCCAAAGGACTTCATCAGGCTGAGGAGCCACAACAAAGTCAGTCCCACAAGCAGCACACTCACATAGAGGGCCAACCAGTTTGCTGGTGATAAGATGGTTACCATTTTACCAAGATGGCCAGGGGACCTGACTTAACTTTGTTGGACATTTACCTGGATTGATGAGCATGAACTTTGATGTTTTGCACCACTTTGGCTATGGCTGCCTCAGAGGAGATGATGGGAGAGAGGGCGGGTCCCAGAAACCATCTTATCAATAGAAAAATTGGTTGGTCCACTATGTGAGTGTGCTGCTTGTGGGACTGAGTTTGTTGTGGTTCCTCGGACCGATGAAATCCTTTGGATGAAGGACGAAACTTCTCAAGAAAAAAAATAAACTGTCCAGATGACCTGACTTAACTTTGTTGGATGCCCATTATAAAGTCCAGTTGAAACTGGGTTCTTACAACATTTACAAATTTTGAAGGATGTTTCCAAAGAATGCTTCAAAGGCAGTAAGGAACATCTAGGAAATTACATTTAATGCCAACATCAAACGGTTTGACAAAAATCAAGTCATCACTAGTAAATTTGGCCTAAAGAAATGTTTATATATATATTTTTTTTTAAATCACGTAATGCATAACGTTTGCTAAAATCTACCTTTATGTTACAAATTACTTGAGGTTTTCTTCTAATGACATTTACAGTAAGTCTTTGTTGTCCCCTCTGTCCTTACCAGAGCGAGAGCCTTTGCAGCTTCCCTGTGATCCTTTGTTGCTGCCAAGGCTATCCCCTCTGGTCAGGATGGAAATACCAGAGAAACTGCTGGCTTTAGTCACAGGTGGCCGGAGGGTGCGGTTGGAACTGTCCGAGTCGGTGCTGCTCCAGGGCCGTGGCTCCAGGCACTTCATGTCACTATCCGTGCTGCTTTGACGACTGCTAGACGCCCGGCTGGAGCTCTCACGGTTCCCTCTAAGAGATGGCAAAACATGGAAAAGATTACACATGTAGAAGGAAAAAAAAGGGAAAAAGTAAAAAGTGGGGGCAAACATTTAAAGTGAAAAAGTTGAGTGAGATATTTGCAAATTGCAAAGGAAAAGAACAGGAAGCTAGAAGAAATTACTCAATAATGTATAAGGATAGATAAGGAGTGTATTTAAAAAAAGGAGGATGTGTGTACTCAAGAACTTAAAGAACAAAGGTGCGTTGATGGAGGTAAAAAAACAAACAAAAAAAAAACAGTAAAGCAGAATAATGTCTTCAACTGCTTGAGAACACACCGAGAGGATTTGGAGAGAACATTTATTAAAGATGCATATTGGGTAGTTCAGGATAACCACAATACAAATGCAGGCGACATACTCATTTTATTTTTTCCAAATTTTTCTAATATATAACCGCACACACATTCACAGAAACAAATCCACTCAAAGGAAAAACAAACATGCGGGGAAAAGAGATGCTTTAAACACCGCCCAGGCTGGAAGTATTTTTCAGTGATGAGATGAGACATACATTCAGAACTGTGACACAGAACACACAATTCACACAAAACATATGCAGAATAAGAACTTGCAAAGCTTATGTGTCAAACATTAAAATCCAAGTAAAACATGTTACTAAAATTCAAAAGGATGACAGATATGACATAACTACGAACACCAAATTTACATAATGACCGTCGCGTATAAGAAGTTATTTTACATCTCAGAATCGCACAACGCCTACAAGATTAACACTTAAATTTTGTTGTGTGAACAATTTTTTGTGTTGTTGTGATACCGTCTCTCTGAGTAAGGGTAGCTGTTAAAACCTATAATCACACTGGAAAAGCAACAAGCACTCTTAAAATTCTGGTTCCTCACAAGTGAGTAATACAAGTCTGTCACATACTAAAATTAGAAAAACTCTTGCATTTGAAAACGTCCTGTATGGCCTCAGCTTACAAAAATCAAATGATGGTAAAATTATTCGTACACAAAAGTCTACAAAGGACTTTGCAGACCTGAATTACTAAAGAAAAAGAGCAGAGGAGAAACAATACTGGAAAAAAGTAGATACATTAACTATGAGCAACTGGTTTTTGTGATCTCATCAGATGGAAAAAATGTAAGAGCTACGATTGTCCCATTTTAAGAAAACAGAAGGGAAATTAAGCTAAAATATCCAAATAGTAATTATTTGATTAGAATAGTAAAACTCCAGAAAAGAGAGTAGTATTTTATGGTGGCTCTGGGTCATAAATATTTCAGATACTTTAATTAATGGAGGATCTATTTTGAGGCCTCACTCTGCACCACCTATTTTAAGGAAGGGTGGGTGCGTCGACATTTTCTGAACATGCTGGCATATTTCGTTTTGCTCTAAAGACAAAGATTATACCAGGTTTAACGAAATGAAAAAAAAAGTGATCCGATTCTGCTCTTGATCACATTTTCAATTCCACTTTCTTCTTACACCACCAGTTACATCTATAAACAAGAAATCTGGATGAGCTGATATTGCTTTTGATCTTTTTTAAATTACAAATTTACAGAAAATAATATTTCATTCAATGGAAGTCAGAAAATTCAGTCTAAGATATTTAGTCTAAGAACATGTATCTTGTGAATGAGTCGAGTTTCCTAGAATGAATTTTATACTTAACTTTATTTTTACAAGAAAAAAACAAAACAACTTGCACAATTTCATTTATTTTAAAGATGGTGTCATAATTTGACATTTTCCCAAAAAGTACAAAATGTACAGCTGCATCATTCAAAGCTTGTTAATGACAAGAAAAGTACAAAACAAATTAAAAGTTAAAATTTATAAAATGATCAAGAAGGCTCATGTCTTCAACCACGCAAATCTATTTTGTCATAAACGGAAAAAGGCTTGCAACCTGTTCTTACCAAACAAAAAACATTGTTTCTCATGCCTATAAAATATGCATCAGTGGCTAAGTATTTATTGAATTTCTGTTGTTTTTGAATAAATAAACTATTTTTCCTGCAAAAGCAACATTATTTTTTCATGTGTACTCTGTGAAATGTAAGTAAACAATGAAACAAATCTTAGCCTGTATCTATCTATCTAGCAAATAATCTGATTAGTAGAAATAGTAAACTTTGAGCACTGGCTGTGTGCATGCATGTGTGTCAAAATGAACTTATTAAAAGATCCAAAACACCAATGGATAAATGCCTTCTGGTAAAAGCATATGGCAAGGTCTGAAATACCCAAAACTTGATGTTACTCTCTTGAATATAGAAGACTAGAAAGACAGTAGTAGTTACTGCCAGACAGTTGGGTTGTATCTGAGATTCGGCCAAGATTTTGAATCTTGTCGGTGACAGGATATCCCACAATCAGTGAATGTAATGTTTTGAGACGTGCTAGAAAGAAGTCTGATCTTGCATGTGTTGTACTTAATGAATCAGCTATGCCAGATAAAAAAATACAGATACATAACTTATGTATCGTGGTCGTCCTAATGGTTTAAAAATCAGACACGGCCTAAGGCATAATGGTGATACTGGAACAAAGGCATGATGACCATCTCACAGTGCGAATGCTGCTACAAACTGTAAACTCAACAACTGATAGGAAAGGAGTAAGACAAGAGACGCTGACCAATGCAACACTAGTGCAACTGTGAAAAAAAAATGAATGCATGCCTAGTTCTGGAGTGTGCACTAAATTAAAAAAGCAGATGAGGTAAAAGATGTAAAATGAAATATTAGATAACCTAACAAAATAAAACAATATTAACAGGGTAGTGTAAAAGGCCATTTTTGTATTATGAGCTCTCAATCTGTGGTCATAACTACCGTACTTTCCGGTGTATAAGCTGCTACTCTTTTCACGTTTTCACATGCTTTGAACAGCCTATACAATGCTGTGACTAATTTATGACTTATATTTTTTTGACAGGCTAACAAGCTTCATGCCGCCAAAATATTTAGCCTCGTCACACCCGGGCGCTCACATAGCACATCTCTCTTGAGGGGTGGGTCCTCGTGACTCAATGAGACTACCTGTATATATGTTCTGAAAAACAAACTGGTACGTATTTAATTAAAAATGTTAAATAACTTTCTGTGTAAATATCTCATAGTACAACGTGAACACCTGTGGCTTCTACACTGGCATGGCTTATATATGTACAAATTTTTATTTTTTTATTTAGTGTGTGCAGCTTATACTCGGGTGCGCTATATATATATATATATATATATATATATATTTACGGTACACTAAATGAGAGGAAATAAGGAAAGAAAAGTCATGCAGTGTGGCTTTTGATTAGGTAGGTATTATTACTGTAAAGTCTACATAGTGCACATTACACAAATTAAACTTATAAGATTACTTGGTCTTATCCTGATGCATGCTCAACAATCCAGGTAGAAACATCTAAAAAAGTTAAGTCTGGTCCTCTGGACATTCAAAAAACAAAACAAACAAACAAAAAAAAAGTTGAAAAGTTTCATCTTTCGTGTCTTCTTCACTGAAGAAGTCTTTCGGATGAACAACAAAACATTTCTACCTTTTTTTGGTTTGTTTTGTTTTTTGAATGTCCAGAGGATCAGACTTAACATTTTTAGATTACTTGGTCTTGTTTGGTCATAATGTTTTCGATAGTATTTAAGTTTTTTTGAGTGAAAGTCTGCAAAATATAGAAATTTCCAAAGTCTCTTAAATTGTTTTGAATGTTTCAATATTCCACAAGATTTTAGAGAAGAAAATGTTTTGTTAACGAAAGCATAATCAGCAAAACTGAAAACAAAATTAGCAAAGAGCTGCCAATTTACACATAAATTGTGTAAATTAAATCTACATTTCTTGCTTTCAGCTCAAATTCACTTCAGTTTTAGAATTAGTATCAGCACATTTTTATGCACTAATATGCACCAACTAACAAAATCGTCATGATAATGTCAACCACAAAACAGGTTACTTGTGAAAGTGATGTAGTCAACTTGGATAAAAATGTGGCTAATGGTGAATAGGTGAAGTATGTTAATCAATTTCCAGGGAAACCACAAAGCGGCCATGCATGAGCCATTGGAGGCTCCACGGTGCAATGCCAGGATAACCATTTATCAGCCGATTACATCAAGCAAAGATAATCATCACAACCACCACTGTCATCACCAAACCACTTTCAAAAATGGGCATAGCAGCACACTCGTCAGTTAGCAGCACCCCAGTACCTAAAAATCTGCCTCCTCTTTTGAGAGCTAGAGCAGTAGCCCTCAGTGGAAAGTCTGTTGGGGTTAACATTAGGAGAAAACGCTCAAGTTACAAGCTGATTGAAGAACAGGAGAAGGTTGAAAGAAAACTGAGGGAGGAAAAAAAGCTGGGAGGTAGTGGTAGTTACAGTGGAAAACATTTACTCCTGGAAAAAAAATGGGGGTGAAAAGCAAACAAGGCAGAAATTTGACTCATGGTTGCCTGTGCTTCTTCTTTGTCTCCCTCCCAGCATATTAGGCCCTTATCTTTCAAGCAGAAAGGTTAGGTTGTGTAGGGCTGGACGATGAATGTAACTGCTGTGTGAGCCAAATCATTTTCACATCAACGCAATTCTACTCTTTTAATTTTTAAATACTTTGTCTAATGCTCATTATTGTTGAATTTAAAAAAAAGAAGTAAATTTTAAATTAAATTTTAAAAATCTATATATAAAACAAATTAACCAATATATTCTATGTAAAATTCGAATTGTTTATATAGATGCCCACCTTGCAAATAATAAAAATAAATAATAATAAAGTGATATGTGTTGTCTTCATTGTATGTTCCCATACAAAGACTAAATTGGCTCTCTGCATTTAACCCATCGCACCTGGGACACACCCAGGTGGAGCACTGGGCAGCTATGTAAGCGCCCGGGGAGCAGAGACACCACGAAACGCGCAATGACCAGGACGTTCGGGTCCCGAGTCGGCTGCCCTGCCCCTACACCATCTCGGCCCCAAATGAAAAACAAATTAAAAAAACTATTATTTATTAAGGCGGTGTAGCTAACGGTGTCTTTAGAAACAAACTCTTAAATATCCGATGAAATTAGTTATCTTACCTGTTGTCATTGATGTATCCATTCTGAGACGACTGTAAAAAGAAAGACACCTGCACATTATGAAATGTGTTGTTATTTAAGGAGCCAAAATTTCTGTTTCATATTCAACACTTATTCAAATGCCTACAAATGCCTTCTTACTGAAAGGTTACAGAGTGTCAACAACTACAATTTTCAAACTTGATTCTGATTTCTGACTACAAAACTGATTCAGATTTAGCTTAAATTAAAATTTTCTTCAATAATTGTGTATACCAGCAGGGTAAAACATATTTACATTTTTATTTAAACAAATTCACTCTAGGTTAATGACATGAGTTAACTTTTACATATCCTTCAAACTGAAGTATGTTACAGGGATTTCTCTTTGTCAGGACAAAATTTAAACAGTGTTCTAGCTTAATGTAGAGATGCAATTTAAGAAAATATAAATCAACCTTAGTGAAAAATAACTATATAAAAGAATTGTTTGTGCACCAGATCATAGACTTATACCCCCTTTGTATGTTTTTCCCAAATAAATGCAACAAATATTGGAATCACGTACAGTAGTACCTCGTTACTTCACGGTTCGACTTTTGCAGACTTGCTCTTTCACAGTTTTTCAGCGATTGTCAACTTTAATATTACTCATGTGATTGGGATGGTATAAGATAAAAAGTTAACGGAAAAAAAAAAACTTCAGACAGGTGCCGCCATTATGTAGTTTTCTTTCAATGAGCCTACACTGTAAATCTAGTCAAAGAACTATGCTACCCAGACGCCAACAGTGCTTCCGAATACGGCTTTCTGCAGAAATGAAGGGAAAGTTTGATCCGATCCGAACCAGACTAAAAAGTTTGGCCCTTATTCATAGTGACTTCGGCGCTCAGTGGATGCAGAGAGCTGTACAGAACTGACCAAGAATTGGATCAGGACGACTTCCAGCCTCATCAGTCAATCTGAGTGCTGCTTGCCAGCACATAAAGCCTCTCAAAAGCGTCTTGGTGCTCAACAGCTGCAGAGAGCAGATCAGAGCCCGACCAGAACCAAAGCAAGGCTGGCAAGTACCCATATAAAATTTTGCAGTAGCTACCGTACAGTACGTATACATATGTTGTTAAAATTATGTAGGTTTAAGAGCTTAGAACATTGCAAGAGTGTGGCAAGGCCTTAAAATATATATAAATACTAAAATAAATATAGTGTTCCTACTTCGCGGGTTTTCACCTATTGCGGGGGTGTGTGGAACGCAACCACCATGATCATCGAGGGACTACTGTAATTACAATTATGGTACTTAAGCTTAAAATCTGGGAAGAAAAGTACAAATACAAAATAGCCTAAAATGAATCGTAAGCTAACTAAAATCAGTGCTTGTTGCTGCTGCTAAGTCCAGGGTCAATACTTACTTCTCGGGCAAAGATCCGGTCTCGTACCCGCTGATACTCTTCTTCTCTCTCTTCAATGGACTTGCTACGCCTCCCGTCCTGCAGTGGCACACGAATCTAACATTTGGGAAGAGAACAATCAAAAAGTTAAATCTACCTAAAAAAGCTGCTATGCTAATATATCTCATCTTAAAATCTCTGATGAATAAAAAAAAAACTTTTTTTAAATCACCTTATAAAAGCAGCAGTGTGCCAAAAAGCTAAATGTCTGTTTAGAAAACAATGAACCTACCTGATTATCATCTTTGTCCATACTAGCATCATCTCTTTTAAGAATGAATTTCTTTTGAAAGTCCATATTACGCTCATCCTTGATGTGTTCAGAGAACCTTTGTTCTGGGCTGTAAAAACAACAATTAAATAAAATGTTCTTCAAAAAGCTTAATAAAATCTGCACAGTGTTTGGTAAGGGAAAAAAAGTCCAATTTTAATATTTAAAAGCTGTTTAACATTCAGTTCACAACTGGACATTGATAAATCAAATCTTTCCAGAGTTTTGTTAGGTTTTTTTCTTGACATCTTCATCATTCTAAATTGTATCCTTCAACTGATATGAAAAGACCTTAAAAAAAAAAAAAAAAAAAAATTATATATATATATATATATATATATATATATATATATATAATTAGTTAAAAAACAAGTTTGTAAGGCATTTAAACTAATCCTAACCAAGATGTTCAAGAACTAATGATAAAATTGGTCACTTCATCACTGAGGCTGCACAACGAGACTTTTTTGTTTCGTCAAATGCTACTGCTGTGTCAAACCTTGTGCTTTTATTTTAGTTAAGTATTTACATACAGACTAGCCTACTGTATTTTACTGTTATTTTGTTTTTGCTTTCCCTGTCCTAACACATAAGCTACAATTACCTATTACTACATATGAACTCTTGCAACTGCATGTACTTTAATCTTGGCATTAAGATTAATTTGCATATATTAGTTCATAGCAATCTATTTTACTGCCACTTTAAACATTTCATTAGACTTTTTAATTGGAAAAATCTAAATCAGTTATGGGATTTTAATGATTTTATTTCTTACTTTGTTGCAAGTTAAATTTGTGCCTCATGCATGTTGAAACAAAAGCAAACAGATAACCTTCAAACACATGGGAATTGTTGAATGGGTTCATAGAGCTCTCACATGCGTGTGTTGCCCGTCTTGTTGATGATGACAGCCTTCCCTGTCTGATCTACATTGTGATCCATGCCGAAGTAGGCAGCCACACGATGCAGCAGCATTCGATGATAGGAAGTCATCTGAGGAAACTTCTTATACTGGTTACTGCAGGGGAAAAGTTTTTTTTAGGCACATTTCAAAATAATTCTGTACTGCCAAATACTGATTTTCTTACATCTTAATGTTGTAATTTTTTTATTTTTATATGGGGTTATTTTGGAAAGTGAAATTACATAATTCAATGCAATTCCTTTTTTGTGACACTTTTTTTTCCTAAGTGAGTTATGTATGTATGTGGATTCTGTGGATATATTTTTTAGAAACACAATTACCAAAGTCTAATAACACTATTTTGTTACAAGGGAACAAACTTAAATAATACATTCACAACTATACAAGCTGTCTGCTTTACCCTGATAAGTGTCTTATTACAAGTTGACATTCAATTTATTGAAACAAAAAGCAGGCGAGTTAAATTTAGGTACAAACGACTGTTATGAAGACTAGGCTTACTTGTTGTCGTTAATAAACTCCAGGATATCTTGTTCTAGTTTAAGCAGCATCATTCGATCCCTAGTGGGTACAAAAAAGAAAGAGAGATAGAAGAGGAAGTTACTGGAAACAGAATTTTAGTGAAGTAAACCGATCAAAAACAATTCTATCAAAGATGGTATTATTTAAAGATTAATAGTACTGTTTTAAATATAGGCAGATGTGATGATACCTGGGATTGTTTTTCAGTGTGTTGACCAAAAATTCATGGACATCAATGCCTGTGGAGTCAGTGTATTCCTGACTGGAGTCTAAGAAAAAAAAAAAAAGGGGGGGGGGGGGGGGAGAAGATAAAAACATAAATAAATGTTTTTTAAGTCACAATGTTAAAATTAAAAAAAAAATCCTTTCCATTTAGGACTGAAATGCTCAGAATCTAATCCCAAAACTGCATCTCAACACCTCAGTAATGACATGCCAAGCTATTCAGAAGAAAAAAAAATGTGAAAAGCAAATAGTAAGAGCTAGCTGGTTTACCAGGTGTACACACACTACACGCAAATGCAATCTTCAGGGGAACATTTTCCACTACATTAGATAGTTAGATGATTAATCTCATCTCTGCTGCTCTCAGTTTAATAACTGAGGGGCCTAGCAGAAAAACAATAAGGCATGCAATTAAAAAAATAAATAAATGGAGGGACCTTGTTTTTTGAAGACTCTATTCTGAATTCTTTGTAGCTTGGTTATTATGAAACAAATTATAACAGCACAGAAGACAAAATGTTTTTACTTATTTATCTAACAGAGGGCACTGCTTGACTAGTGATGTTATTTAACAGTGAAAGCCGTAGAAAGTACAATATGTATTAAAACGCTGATAATTTGGTATCAGTTGATATTTAGACGAGATACCGGTACGTTGTAAGATTGTGGGACATGATCAGTGCTTGAAAAATAGTTTGGTCTTTTTCTCCCCCCTCCAGGCTCTTACAGTCATACGAAGCAGAAACATCACCTACATTTAAAAAAAAATTATAATTGATTTAAGTATTTCTTAATGACCCATGAGAAGTTTGAAGCATTGATCTGTAGTGATATCTTTTCCAAATACAATTTGTTTTTCACACACTTTTCTTGTTTTGGTGTTATCAGGATGTTTTTGTGGGTTGTGACCTTGATGCCAAGGGTGAGTAGACTTCAGTCAATGGAGCTAGCTTGCACAAACAAAAACAAACATGAAAATAACTAGTAAGTGAGTGGAGTAAAACATGTTAGAATATTAAAACTGGGACATCCATTGCCAGTTGTCTTTCCTCTTGATGATTGAGAAACATGTTTAAGGACATGTTGCATACTGGCCTAAAGGCTAAAACACAAATGTGTCATCCAGTCTCAGAGGAGTAAGAAGGAATGAAGTCTTCTTAAACATCAGCTACTTCCACAAAATTTTTATTTACCACGCGACAACATCTTTCGAGGAGTCTTGTCCTTCTTCTCTTTTTCTTCATTTTCATACTCGTCCTTTGAGGACTTTTCCTCTTCTTTGTCTGATGGGCAGCTGATGTGAAGTTGAATGATATCCTATAACAAAAACCACATTCCATAACATATACATTTTTTAAAATAGATACAAAGATGCTTTAATGATGTGAAGTAAATAGCACACAAACAACTGTAAGCTTGTACAGCTTAACAAGGGATAAAGGTTGTTAGGTATGGTTAGAAGAGAAAAAGTACCGATTCTGGAGGTCCATCGTTGGAGAACGGACCACAGGACTCTTCACATACTGCCAAACTCCGTACCAGCTTCACTTTGGCATTAGACTGCAACATATTCAAATTATGTCATCTATAAAACTGCTTTAAAAACTTTTCATACAGAAATATGTTTACTATATTTAATAAAGAAAAACTGAAAATATTGGCTACGTATACTGCATGTTCATTGAAAATACTGTAGAAAAAGGTCATTTGTTATTTTTCTCAAGAAGTAAAAATATGAAATACATTGGTACTGATTTTGTGCATATCTAAAATATTTATGTTTGCAAAATCAAATGTTAATTAAACGCAAGGTTTTTAAAAATGTTATTTCTCATTTCTGTCACAAACTGCCTGTATGACTTTGTCTTATATAAAAAAAAAGACAACTTTGTTTAAGACTTAGGTTTTCATAAGATTTTAAAACTTATTTCAAACCCTAAAGAAACTTTTAGATTTTCTTTAAAAATAGAAGAGCTGAAAAACAAGATTGCAAATTGATAAGAAAAAGAAAGTCACTGTGAATTATGTAATGAAACCATGAGCACAGTAAAACTAGGGCAACTCAACTCCAAAAAAATAAATGCTTACAATGACTATTTGATCTCCCACCCCCCAGACATTATTATAAGTATGATTTGTTCCATTAGAAAAACTATGTTAGGTTTGTTAAATAAAAACAAAATAAAATGATGTTGATGGTTTGCTAACAGACCAGTAAACATTATGTAAGTGTAATTTAAAACTGGTGCAGTGCAGTACCTTACATAAATGATTCAATTTGTATCATGGTATTCATATCGTTCAGTCATCAACTAATTCATTTTAACGTAACTGATTATGTTGCATTCATAAAGCCCTAATAATGTCACTAGCACATTTACTCTTAACTTCCCTGTGAAAACCAGATATTTGGCATATCTATGATATGAAGAAAAGCAGTTTACTAATGCAAAATATAAATTTAAAACTGGTTGCTCTCCTTTAAAATACACCAAAAAGTGTTTATTACAAAGAGCAGGAAAAGGAAACTCTAAAAATCCAAAAAAAGTTAAATCTGGTCCTCTGGACATTCAAAAAACAAAGAAAAAAAATGTAGAAACGTTTCGTCTCATCTGAAAGACTTCCTCAGTCTGAGGAACTTCTCATGGAAGTCCAGAGACTGAGAAAGTCTTTCGGATGAGAGACGAAACGTTTCTACATTTTTTTTGCTTTGTTTTTTTCTTTTTGAATGTCCAGAGGACCAGATTGAACTTTTTTGGATTTTTCTACCTGGATTATTGAGCATTCATCAGGAAACTCTAAAAAGAAATGTATCTCACTTATAAACAAATACAGTCGCTTACCTTGGCCCTTTTTCTGCCATGACTGTGGTTAGGAGGTCGTTTCTAGAAATATACACAACCAACATAAGGATTTTACTGATAAGGTGCAAATAAAATGTCTTAAAGAAATTCAGCAACAGTTTATGCAGCATCAACATCAAATGCACCCAATTGAGAAGAGACAACAATTAATAAATAATATAGAAGTACAGATTTCTTTTGTTCAGAAAATTCACAATAAAATAAGGAGCAAAAAATGTATCAAATTAAGTTTAGTTTGACAAAAAAAATTGTGCTATACATCACAAGCATGGGTTGAAGCTCATAGAAATTGTATTTACATGCATCTTTAAATTTCCCCTGCAGACTTTTAGTCTTAAACCTACAACCCCCTAAAGTTATTTTTGAAACTTTTTATCCCATTGCAGTAATTCAGTCTCTAGTGTAGAAGGCATACATATAATTTATCAACACTTTTGACCTCTAAAATAATTTTATAAAAAGCTGATTTATCTACAACCTCAAAAAAAAGAAAATAAATATAAGAAATATATGCAGTACATATGCATGCATATTGCATGCACACATGCATACTTTTAAACAAAGGGGCCACTAAAACAGGTATAACAGGTCTCTCTCATAAATGAGTCCTCAAAGCTCAATGGGAAAGAACCTGTATAAAGGTTGAATTAAAAAAAATTGTGATTTTTAAAATCTTATGCTTTTCTCTTCTTGTCTCTGATCTCCAAATGCTGCTTAATTGGATGACAGCTCATCATCACCTAGTCACACACAAGAGCACATAAGATGTAGCTTCAAAGCAAAAAAACAGTCAAAAACCCAACTGACTTTTGGTAATGTCTTATTCAACTTGGAGTGAAAAACACCTGGCATGCCAAATTAGAAAAAAAAGACCCCAGATTTAAAAAAGAATGGCCAATTTAAATCCCTACTGAATAAATACATATTTTTTTTATGATTCAAGATGATCCAACCAACACAAAACTTTTATTATACTGGTTACCATATTAGTATTGTTTTTGGTAGTGAAATTTTATTGAGGAGTAGAATCATGACCTTTATTCTGCCAAGTATAAAAATTCTGCTAGGCAAATAGAAGAAGTACTGAGTTTATTACAGTACCTGTAAATGAGCAAGTTATGTTTACTATTTGTCATACGCAGGTTAACACAAGGTTAACAGTACAATGAAATGTTCAGGATGAGAAGAACCGATTTGACTCGCTAACAACAAAGAACAAACGAGAAAATACTACAGCATGCAATAAGGGTAAAAAATAAAGTACCAAAAAGTGAAAAAGTAAATATAATATTTACAAGGTCCTAAAGAGCAATGGTCTATAGTTTCTGCAATCATTTATATTGTAGATATCCCCACCTGTAAATCCTGGGGGGAGCTTTCTTCTGGCTCCAAGCCTTCTCCTGTCCCATCCTTTGTACCCTGTGGTTGGGGGGAGGTTTTGCCTCGGCTGCAGGGCTCGATATGTGGCCCATTCTCTCCCTCCTGCTGGATGTCTGTTGTCAGGCTCACTGACATCTTCTTAGGGGAGGGGAGAGGGTGGGAGTGGGGAGGGGGTTGGGTGGAGGACCCAGGAGTGGCTGTGAGAGAGAAAAAAGAAATGGCATCAGAGAAAAATTCTGGATTCAGACAAAACAAAATTTTAATCCATAAAGAGAGCGAAACAGAGACAGTATTACTTCAACATTACCTGTGGGTGGTACCAGGTCTATGCTGGATTATGAACAGCGAGTGTGGAAAGGAACCACAGACAAAAGTTGAGTTAGACCCACTAAGGTAGTGTACTGGAGTGGGCTGCAGCAGGGTGCGAAGAACAGTCCATAGCAAGCCTTAGCCAGGGGATATGGCTGCAAGACAGAAACACACCAAAGCAGAAAAAAAAAATAATAATTTGCTGTTTAAACATATTCATTTATTAATATTAATATTAAAATATACATTTATATTAAATTCATATTTATAAAAAATATTCCATTGTATATGTTTAAATGAAGCAACTTCCTTTTAAACTGTACAGATAAAAACTTTTCTTGTAACATCCAAAAAAAGTTCAATCTGGTCCTCTGGACATTCAAAAAAAACAAAAAACAAAACAAAGCAAAAAAATGTAGAAACGTTTCGTCTCTCATCCAAGAGACTTCCTCAGTCTGAGGTGCTGTTTTCAGCTCAGTCTCTTAAATAGCACCTTCTCAGAGTGGATCAACCAGTTTTGCTGCTGACAACCAAAACCAGCTGATCACATGCTCAAGAAGGACCATCAGCCTAACAATGGATCATTAGCACACTGATGGCTGTTTACTATTCACAGAGGGCTGAGTGATACTAGCAATCACAGCATTGTAAGAGGGGGACAGTTGAACCCAGAGGCCTCCACCCCTGTTTAACGATGGACGATTTCTTTTCACAAAGATGGCCTCCTTTACTCTTCTCTCAAACCATCGTTCCTCTCTGTCCAGGATGTGAACATCTTCATCCCTGAAAGAGTGACCGCTGGCCTGGAGATGAGTGTAGACCGCAGAATCCTGGCCTGATGATGTTGATCTTCTGTGCTGGGCCATCCTTTTGGCCCAGCACAGAAGGCTAGTTTGGCTAGTATCACTCAGCCCTCTGTGAATAGTAAACAGGCATCAGTGTGCTAATGATCCATTGTTAGGCTGATGGTCCTTCTTGAGCATGTGATCAGCTGGTTTTGGTTGTCAGCAGCAAAATGGTTGATCCACTCTGAGAAGGTGCTATTTAAGAGACTGAGCTGAATACAGCACCTCAGACTGAGGAAGTCTCTTGGATGAGAGACGAAACGTTTCTATATATTTTTTTGCTTTGTTTTGTTTTTTGGTTTTTTTTGAATGTCCAGAGGACCAGATTGAACTTTTTTGGATTTTTCTACCTGGATTATTGAGCATGCATCAGGGTATTTTCTTGTAACAGACACAGATTTATAATAATTAAAAAAACTAACAGTAATGTTGTCATTTATGTTAAACATTTTACTGTCCATTTTACAACACTGCAGTTACATAGGTTTAATTTTATCTTATTCATTTAAATTGGATTTTTTTTTTTGAAATTGTAAATCTTAGAGGCAATATCAAAATATAATTTAGACACTAGTATTAACAGCTTTTAAATAATCTTTTTTTGATTATTTCAAAACAAAATAAAAAATGCACTAGTGTTAATGAAAAGTTATAGATATGATCACTTTGGTAAAAAATAAATAAAAAAGAAAGAAAATAATTACTTTAAATGCATATTTCATATTATGGGAAGAAAAAAAAAAAGATGCTCCAAAAAGACACGTTTTTAGGAAAATAGTAACAATAGCATGCACAAAACAAATACAAATATGAAAAAATATATATATTTACAGCGATCAGGTGAAATGAAGAGGCAGCGGTATGCCAGCCAGAGAGGAAGGAAGGGAGACACCAACAGGCCAAGCACCACCTTAGAGGTCGTCTAGGGCCTCTCTTCTCTGCCTTCGGCTTACTGCAGGAGCATGGTGTTGCCTACAGTCTGGAGCCCTGCACACCATAAGCAGAGGAGGAAGACACGAATGACGTCATGTTTCACACACTGCGTGACTCATCACTGCTGCTGCTGCTGCTAATCCTGGCAGGGAGGAAGAAAGAGCAGCTGAGAGCTCAGAGCTTACTGGGACATGGCTTTTGAAAACAGCCACCCAAATTTTCAATTGTTCGTTCGTTTTACACTATTATTATTGAATTAACATGTTTTTACAGTGTGTGCGTATTGCTCTTGAAAAATCGGCATGCTCTTTTCAAATAAGATAATTAAAATCTTAAAAATGTCCTTAACAAGAAACTTTCATTGTGGTGAAGAGGGAGTTGAGCTGCATGGTGAAGATCTCCATTTATCAGTCTGTCTAAAATCCCACCCTCACTTATATTCACAAACTGTGGATAGTGACTGAAAGAAAGACATCAAAGATGCAGGCGGTTAAAATGAATTTTCTCATCTGCATAGCTGGGTTTTCCTTTAGAGATAGGGTAAGAAGTTCAGTTATCCAGGAGAAGAGCCACTGCTGCTCCTCCACATTAAGAAGAGCCAGATGAGGTGGTTTGGGCATGTGGTAAGAATGAATTCCTAAGATGTTCCTGGCATGTACAGCTAGGAGGAGACCACAGGAAAGACCCAGGACATGGTGGAGAAACCATGTGTCTCAGCTGACCTGGGATCACTTTGAAATCTCCCAGAAGTGCCGGAAGAGGTGGCTGTGAAGGAGATGTCTGGGCCATCCGGCTCAATCTGTTGCCCTTGTGAACAAGCATCACAAAATGTATGAACCACATTCATTAAAGCCATGTGCACTAAAATTATAGATTCATGTAGCATCTGTTAAAGTTGCCTCTCAGTACTTTGTAAAAGCAAAGTAGCCTAGAGAATATCTTCATATTTTTTCTTTTCGGTATCTAAACATCACTTTTTCTCATTTTTCTTCACAAAGACTCAATTAAAGTCAAAAAGACAAAGTTTTAGATTATAACTAAAGTTAGATCAGAGCTATCTAGCCAGAGCTCAGATAATTCATTAACTTTTTATCCAAACTTTTATAACAACAAAAACACTGCCACAACCACATTGAGTCATTCATAATTCGAATTTATATCATTCACAAAAAGTTGTGACTTGATGGTCAATGGTGCCTGTCGCAGCAGCATCCAAAAGACCAGCTGGTGAACACCAGGAGTGATGGGGGCTGTTAAAATAAATAAAGAGGCCTTCAGGACTTGGGTGTCCCGGAGGACTCCTGATGCAGCTTATAGGTATAGCGTGGCCAGAAGGACTGCAGCTTGGGTGATTGCAGTTGCAAAAACTTGGGGATTGGAGGAATTTGGGGAGGGCATTGGCTGGCCTCGAGGATGTTCCGGCAAACAGTTTGGCGACTCATAAAAGGAAAGCAGGCCCCTTCCCATGCTGTGTTTGGTTTGGGCGGGGGACTACTGACCCACACTGAGGATATTGTTGAGAGGTGGAAGAAACACTATGAAAATCTCCTAAATCCACTCACCATGTTCATTTTGTGGAGGCAGAATCTGAGGACTCGAGGAAAAACAAGTCCAATACCATGAGAGGTCATTGAGGTAGTTTAAAAGATCCTCGGTGGCAGGGCGCCGAGGATGAACGAGATTCACCCCCGAGATGCTAAAGGCTCTGGATGTTGTGGGGCTGTCATGGATGACATCTCTTCAATGTTGCATGGAGGACTGGGACAATGCCTGTGGATCTGCAAACCAGGGTGGTGGTTCCCATTTTTAAAATGGGAGATTGGAGAGCGTGATCCAATTATTGTGTGATCACACTTCTTGCCCTCCCTGGAAAAGTTTACTCCAGGGTGCTGGAAGGAAAGCTCTCACCAACTGTCAAACTTCTGATTCAGGAGTAACAGTGTGACTTCCATCCTGGTCATGGAACAGTGGACCAGATCTTCACCTTCGCAGAGTTGCTAAGGGGGTCATGGGAGTTTGCCTCTCTGATCTACATCCGTACATGCAGCTCCTCCAAGTCTGAGGCCATGGTTCTCAACTGGAAACTGATGGAATGCACCCTCCGAACCGAGGGGGAGACTTTGCCTCAGGTGGAGGAGTTTAAGTATTTGGATGTCTTGTTCACAAGTGATGGAAGGAAGGAGCGGGAGATGGATTGACTGATTGGGGCCTCGTTCTCAGTAATGATGGCAATGCTTTGGTCGGTCGTAGTGAAGAAAGAGCTGGGTCAAAAGGCAAATCTCTCAATTTACTTTGTTGACTGAAAGAATGACATCCCGGATACAAGCGGACAAAATGGATTTCCTTTGCTTAGTGAGCAGGCTCAGTCTTAGAGATACGATGAGGAGCTCCATCATTCGGAGGGTGCTCAGAGAAAAGCTCCTGCTTCTCCTCATCAAAAGGAGTTAATAGAGGTGGTTTGGTCATTTGATTAGAATGCCTCAGGGATGCCTCCCTTTAGAGGTTTTCTAGGCATGTACCACTGGTAGAGGCCCCAGGGAGGACCCAGAAAATACTGGAGGGATTGTGCATCTTCTCTGGCCTGGAAACATCTTGGGGTCCCCCCAAAACATAATAAAAAATGTCACTGGGGAGAGGAATGTCTGGGTTTCTAACAAGGATGAGTCAGGTCCTCAAACTTATTAGATTTATGGAACTGGATTATTGAGCATGCATCAGGATGTCTGGGTTTTTCTCCTGGACAATGTTGCCTCTGTGACCAGACAACAGATAAGTGGTAGAAGATGAATATAAAGACACAAAGTTTATGAATGATAACTATCAATAGCACATTTATTACAACAACTGTTTTTTTGACTACATTTGGATTCTTCTGATCTACCTTTTTCTAAAATAAAAATGACAGCCTTACAAACTACTAACTATTAGAGACGTGCAAGTATGATGTCACCAACAAAAATTACGATATGCTCTCCAAGTCTATATTTTTCCAGGTCAAAAGGTTAAAAAAATATGTATTTCCTTGTTAAAATCGTGAAAAAATGTGTTTATCCAGCAAGAATAAAATAATGCAATAGTTTGATGAAGCTCAAGTGAGAGCAAACTTAGGCATCTGATGTTTAATGGCCAACATGTATAAATGCAGCAAGAGCAACTGACTGTAAAGTTCTGTCAGTAGCATTATGCTGCACTATAAGATGTGGGAACAAGTGAGACAGGGATTTCCAGTGAAGGAAAGACCTAGGCAATGCAGCAGGAATAACGTCACCAGCAGCAGCATTACATCACTGACCAGAACACCCACACACTCCAAACTTGCTTTGCTTGCATAAACCTACCACAGATCTGCTGTAATGTAGTTCTGACTCAGTCATTTCAAAATGGCACTGGTAGCGCACTGTGTATTCTATCATAAACAAGTGAATAGTTTTGAACAACAAACTAACAATTATTCATTTGAAATGTCAGCTACAAATTTGATTAAAGGAGCACTGTCTTGGCTTAATGATCAGGAGGTGCTGTAAACAACTCTGAAAAATAGAAACAGTAGTGAGATATTTATGAATAAACCAGATCCTCCTCCTTTTCCTCCTATGTTTTTTTAGTTCTGTCATCAACACTCCACAGCTTCCCTCAACACACACACACACACAATGCAACCCACAGTGTTGTCAAGGAGATGAGAACGTCATTTGATTTGAGTGAGTAAAGTGAGAAGAAAAAAGAAAAATAATATTTAATAAGCACTTGGATAAGCAATAGGAGTGTGTAAAGACTGAAGATAATGCAAAGATATAAGTAGGGTGGGAATCTTCAGGAACCTCAAGATTTTTTTTTTTTCTTGAAAAAAAAAAAAAAAAAAAAAGGAACCTCAAGATTTGACAATGGTTCAGAGGGGTTTTGCAATTATAAAACTAATGAGAGTGAGTGAGTGAGTGAGTGAGTGAGTGAGTGAGTGAGTGAGTGAGTGAG